AGTTCGGACTAGGAAGCCTAGTCCGAACTACCTAGTCCGTGCCGCGTGTAGCTGCGCGGCACGGAGTCCGCACTAGCGGACATTTAAAAATGGCGGCGCCCGGCTTTATACAAATGAAGCCCGGGAAATTCAAATCCCGGGCTTCATTTGCAACTCCGGTTGCCTACATTACCACCCTAGTTCGCACTAGGGTGGTAGTGTAGACATACCCTCAGAGTGCAGTTGGTTATCAGTGGGCTGGAGAGCAATACACATTTCTGTGATAAAAGACTAGAAACACACACCTCTGAAATTTGTTTTGATTTATTCCTTTGCCCTCCTTACCAAAGTATACCATTATCCAATTCTACAAAATTGTGCTCTTTTGTATTCAGCAAAGAGCAGAACTTGAACTGGGAGCGACTGAGTGATTGAGGCCAAAAGAGTTCACCAGTTTGTCTTTGCTGAGTCAGCGCTTCTTCAGTTTTTTTTTCGTCTCTGTTCTGTAGTATGTTTTTTCTGTGTTTGAATATTTCTGCAATAAGTTTTTTTGAGTACTAGCCAGTAACTGAATCTGAGTAAGCTGTATTCACATCTCCCTGAAGCAGTGGGAATAAGTTACACTGCAATTTGCAAGTGAAGACCTTTGCATCAGAAGGAGGAAGAACAAGCAGTATTTTCACTGCAGTGATCTCTTATCCACAGCAGCACCATTGGAGGCTCACAAAGAGAAGCCGTATTGTGAATTATCTGAATCACCACCTCTTCCAGCATCTCTACCCAATGAGTGCCAGGCACTTTCAAGTGTGATGTGTTATGCGGGCTCCTGCAAACCCTGGGGAAAAAGGAAAATTGCAGCCACTTTCTAATACTGTAGCTTCCATCCTAGCAGACACCCCATTGCTGGAGATTCAGAAAACACTGGGAATGAGTTGAGTCCATCCTTCTTCTCTCTTAAGTTGAAAATGAAAGAATACTCCCTCCACTCCATTCTTCTTTGCAGTTACTTCTAAAGTAAATTATGCCTGTGGAAGAGTGGTCATTTCCTGATGACTGCAATGTGGTCAGAGGTCACTCTGCAGGTATCTACGTTGTTTAAGCCCCTCTTGCATCCCTCTTTAAGAATTTCACACAGGCATTCGTGTAAATAACAACTGCAGCTTGTGGCTGATTTAATAGTCCACAGTCAGCTCTGGTGTCTTTTCTCACAGCCAGAGTTGTTGTTCTATCTGTTTTTTCTTACAGCCTGTCCTCCGAGTTCCTCCTCCCATGAGCCTAAGTCAGCTCTTGGGCTCTGAGATTTAATGCTATGGGGTTTTTACTGAAGTGTAGAGATATCCTTGGTCTCATGGTCTTCCCTGCACGAGTAATTCACAGTCCCTGTGTATCTCTATTCTACACTTTCTTGTTCTTCCTTCATTTATTACAGCCTCCTGTTGCTTTTCATAGGACAATCACCCTGCTTTCTCCCATGTATGACACATTCTATAACCAGGGTTGGGTGGCCCCCAGCTACAGAACCGCCCTATTAAGGTGCCCAAATAGTGACCTAGAAACAGCTGGAAATTCACATTTTTTAGACCTTAGACCTCAGAATGCTTTCTCTTAAAGTCACTGATTGAAAATCATTAAATTCTATTGGATATTTAGCAGCCTGCCTAAAATGAGTTAGTGATCTCTGCTCAGTTTCTCATGGTGAAGCATTCCCATCATAAAAGGCACTCTTGCTGGTAGTCTCACCAGATAGCTTAAGGACTGAATTGATAGAAAGCGAACGAACTTGCAGGTAGTACATTAGCTACAGTATAGTATAATGTTTCTCAAACTGGGATCTGCGAGGGAACTCCAATGGGCACATGGGCTCTGCTGATCAGCTCCTCTCTCCTTCTGGGACCCACAGTCTGGGGCTAAAGCGGGCTTATCTGTGCTGGTGTCACACAGCTCCTGGAAGCAGGTACTATGTCTGGGTATGTCTACACTACCACCCTACTTGGAACTAGGATGGTTAATGTAGTCAACCGAAGTTGCAAATGAAGCCCGGGATTTAAATATCCCGGGCTTCATTTGCATCTTGCCGGGCGCCGCCATTTTTAAATCCCCAGTAGTTTGGACTCCGTGCCCGCGGCTACACGCGGCACGGAGTAGGTGGTTCGAATTAGACTTTCTAATTCGAACTACCGTTACACCTCGTTCCACCTCGTTCCACGAGGAGTAACGGTAGTTCAAATTAGAAAGCCTAATTCGAACTACCTACTCCGTGCCGTGTGTAGCCGCGGGCACGGAGGCCGAACTTCCAGAGATTTAAAAATGGCGGCGCCCGGCAAAATGCAAATGAAGCCCGGAGTTTTTAAATCCCGGGCTTCATTTGTAACTTCGGTTGACTACATTAACCACCCTAGTTTGAACTAGAGTGGTAGTGTAGACATACCCTCTCTGTAGCCCCCAGGTACATGGGTATCCAGGGAGTTCCACATGCTGCATCTGCCTGAGTGCTGTCTCTACAGCTCCCATTGGCCAGGAACCATGATCAATGGGAGCTGTGGGAACAGAGCTTGAGGGCACAAGGGTAGTGTGTGGCACTTCGCATGTTGCCCGTGCACCTAGGGGCCATAGAGACATGATGGCTGCTTCTAGGATGTTGTGGTAAACGCCGCCAGCATGCTGAAACTTCTCCTGCACCTTAAAGACCTCATCCACAGCCTCACTCCAAAGCCCACAAACCCAACTGGCCCTCACTCACCCTCTGCACCCCAATCCCTGGCTCCAGCCCAGAACCCCCCAAACACACACTCGAACTCCCTCCTGGAGCCCCCTACACCCTAATCCTCTAACCCAGCCTAGAGCCCCCTCCTGTATCCCAAACTCAACTTCCCTGACTGAGGGAAGACTGAGAGGGGACATGATTGCGTTTTCGGGTATCTAAAAGGGTGACACAGGAAGGAGGGAGGAAATTGTTCTCCTTGGCCTCTGAGGATAGGACAAGAAACAATGGGCTTAAACTGCGGCAAGAGAGGTTTAGGTTGGACATTAGGAAAAACTTCCTGTCAGGGTGGTTAAACACTGGAACAAATTGCCTAGGGGGGTTGTGGAAACTCCATCACTGGAGATATTTAAGAGCAGGTTAGTCAGACACCTGTCTGAGATGATATAGACCAAAGCTCTCACTCTCCTCCTGCACCTCAACCCCTTACTCCAGGCCAGTGAAAGTCAGGGTGGTGGAGATCACGTGACAGGCAGGGGGATGGAATGAGTGGAGGGCAGGGCCTCGGTGAAGGGACAGGGCAGGGTTCTCAAAAAAAATTTAAGATCAAAATGGGAGTCCTTGAGTTGCTAAAGTTTGAGAACAACTGGTGTAGCACATTGGCAGGATGGCACAGGAAAGCTTGTACAGGTTGAACCTCTAAAATCTGTGACTCTCTGGTCTGGCAACATCTGTGGCCCAGCTGGCCAGGCTCAGCAAGAAGCACAGACCTGGCTGGCGTTGGAAGCAGTGGGACCAGCAGCCAGGAGCACAGCCCCTGGTACGGTGGGGAGCACAGTCTTGGTCGGGGCTGGTGCAGTTGGCAGGGAGCTCAGCCCCTGTCAGGGCTTGAGGCAGAAGGGCCATCAGTCAGGAGCATAGTCCTAGCCAGAGTGGCAGTGGGGAGTGTAGCCCCAGCCAGGACTGGAGTCAGCTGGTCCCTGTTTGGGTCTGGCATAGTGGGGGACACAGCCTGTCAGAGCTGGCATGGTGTGCGGGCTGGAGGCAGTGGCAGGCGACAGGGAGCAGAGCCTATAGCCCGGTAGGGAGCCTTGACCTCCTCTTGTCTGGCAAATTCTGTGTTTCGGGACCCTCAGGTTCCAAGGGTACCAGACAAGGAAGGTTCAAACTGTACTGCTGCTATGCATGCTGCACACTCTGTGACCAGAGGATTTCCTTTCCCAACATTGTTAATGTATATTTTAATGCTCACAGAAGGTGCTACAAGTT